AACTTGTTGGAAATAGTTAAATAAAATTGGCCAGTTAAAAGGCCAAAAAATAATCGTATTTTTTTTAAATCATTTTCAAATATTTTACTAATGAAATAAAAAACGGAGACATGGAGACTGCATAGTGACTGTTTTATTTTTCATATAAGCTACCTGTTTATACTTTATTTACATTGTGTGAAAAAGCTTGGCGTGCTTAGCAGAACGGGGCAGAATTTCATGCCGCTACATCGCTTACAACTTTACAAGGCACAGGTTCGACCTCACATAGAATACTGTTCTCACCTCTGGGCCGATGCACCCCAGTGCCAGCTCCTTCCACTTAACCGTATCCATCGCAGACCAGCTTAAACTGCCGACGTCCGATTTTTTTCTCATTGATTCGATTCACGTGCACTGTGGAGAGGTACATCTCTTGGTTGCTACAACATCCCTTTGCATTCTGTATCGCATTTACCACGGGGAGTGCTTTTCTTTGAGGAATTGTTTACCACTGGCAATTTTTCCAGAACGTTACAATTTAGGGACCTTTAAGAAACGTCCTTAATCCTTTTTTAAAGCCGGTAACGCACATGTAATAGCTCTGGTGTTGCAGTTGTCATGGGTGGGGGTCGACACTTACCATCAGGCGAGCTGCATGCTTGTTTGCCCCCTGAGCTATAAAAAATCCCAGGAAAAACTGTCCACGACAGTAAACATTTTTCTTCAGGGGTCATGACCCGCAACTTCATGATCTATTTTTTGAAAAATTTCTTTATTTTGGGGCATTACATTTTGTATTAAAATCCAACAAAAGGCAGGCAAGTTCAGCTTAATACCGGTAACATGATTTTTGAATAAATAAAAATTTTAGCATATTAAAAGAGAGTAAGGTATTGTGCAAAAATTAAAGAGTGACGTCTGAGGCATTGTATTTTATATATTATTTGTATTATGTTGTACGATACATATGTTGTAGGATACAAGTTATAAGATACAGATACACTGAAACCGAAAGACTTTTATTTGAAAAGCAACTTTTCACTTATGGTGACACAATGTAACAAATAACTTTACCTCACCTCAGTCCCGTGTAGCGACATCTGATTGGAAAATTATAAACGCTCATTAATTATTCAACTCAAATAAACAACCAATAAACAACTTGTTTGTTAACATAGCGCAATGACGTTACTTGTAAAAGTACAAAATATAAAAAAATAAAAATCGGGTTACAATGAAATAAAGATTAAATAAAACCGTATCATGTGATGTTTTAATTGTTAAAAAATATTGAATAAAACGATTTTTTACGGATTTCATCGCGTTTAATTTACTATTTTAATTCCTGTCATTTCGGATCCTTTACAGCAACCCATGGTCACGGGGGGGACTGAGATGTTTGACGTCCCAATGTCACAGTTAGCCCGGTTACCTTCAGTTTTTTAATATTAATTTTTAGTTCGATTTACGAGAATGAACTTACAGTACCTTGAAGTCTTGCAGTGGTATGCTTAGGTTTGGATTTAATTTTGTTACTTATAGGATCCCAAGCAGACGGCAGCACCCATCTAACTTCTTTATTGAAATTAGGATGTTTTGTAATTTCAATAGCCTCGCGTATCATCCTTGGTAGGAATTGGTTTTCCTTTGCAAGGATTTGTGGTCTATCAAATCTGATATAATAGCGAGGACGAACTTGAACATGTTCACAGACTGCAGATTTCCCAGAGCGTCGGTGCTTCACGTCAGCTATATGTTCTTCCACGCGGGTTTTAATGGATCTTTTTGTTTGTCCTATGAAAGAGAGACCACATTCGCAATCAAGCTTGTACACTCCTGCATCCTGTAAAGGGTAAAGATTGGGGTAAAATTGACTAATTTTCTTCGGAGTCTTAAAGTATGTTTTAATAGAAGCTCGCTTCAAATGTAGCCAACCTTGTCTGTGACTCCTCTGACATAGGATAGTACAGCAGGCACACGCTCGATTGTGGTCCGCTTCACACGGTCACTGTGATGTACTTCACTTGTTGTCCGAAGTTTTATTCAATATGTAGTATTCGCGTAAATATAAGAAATCATTATGTTAAAGAATATTTAATAATTAAATTTAAACAATCTGATATTTTATGTAAGAAATAAAAAATGTGTTTTTTATTTATTATAATACTACGCCTTTCTGTATAAAATTTGAATTGAATAATCCCTGAATTAAATAATCATAATTATCATAGAGTAACATGAGACCCTGGCGGATCGGAGGGGAGTAGCCATACTCAGGCGTTCCCCTCTGTAAGTAAGTATAAGTCCACGCGGTTCTATGCATACAATAAAACTAGTTGCAGCTGCACTGCTCACTATACTAAATCTAGTTGTGCGGCTAAATAAACGTCCTACAAAAATGCCGAATTGTTCAGTTATGTGCTGCTAAAAGAGATCTGCCCTCTCTGAAATTTACAATAAGAAGGTGTTACGTTTCTTAAAGAAGTAATTTTAAATCTCATTATATGTATTTACTTCTTCTTAAACCTAAAAATTACAATAATAACGGACGTGTTGTAACAGATTTCTTTACCAACTGAAGCAGTTCGTCCTCATATTGTAATATGCAGATCGGTTGAGTTATTAGTTTCATAGTAACAGATGATTGTTTTTGTATGCGCAGAATCCCTCCCGCAAAAAATGGGAGACAGTTCTGTGTTCAGTGTTCCGGCAAAAATGTAACAGCTAATCCCATCTGCCGGGCTATTCACAATCGTCTCGGAAAGCGAATTCGACTCGGATTCGATAACTTCTCGCACCGAAACCAATAAACGTTATTCACATTTAACATTCGGATAAAGGTCACTTAGATACATCCCATAACTATTGTATCGTCATTTAGTTACATGCATTTACGAATTTTGTAGATAAATAGGCTTTTGTATATTTTTAGAGTAACGCCTAAACAAAAACATAATGCAATATTTTGGTCATTGATATCGAATATAAAAAATATATAATTTAACTATATAATAAATAACAAAAAAACTGAGATATGTCTCGTTTCACAAAGCAGCATATATATATGCTGCTTTGTGATAGAAAACTTATAAAAACACACCTTTCACAAAAATTCAGCTTTACGATTAAGTGCAAATATTGAAGTAATTATATGAAAATACGTCTTATAGATAATTGTAATTAATTTTTGTTACCTACCTTATAATTAAAAGGGTTTATTTATCTCTTCTAATCATCAATATTCGAAAAGTTTTCGCCAGCCTCAGAGCTCTCGTAAAGTTTCCGATGCAAACTGTCACAATTATCGAAAACAAACGTCAAAGAAGTACGGTCACGCCCCATAGAAAAAAACCCAGACCCGACAGAAACGAGACATATCTCAGTTTTTTTTGTTATTTATTATATAGTTAAATTATATATTTTTTATATTCGATATCAATGGCTAACTCCAAAATATTGCATTATGTTTTTGTTCAGGCGTTACTCTAAAAAAATACAAAAGCCTATTTATCTACAAAATTCGTAAATGCATGTAACTAAATGACGATACAATAGTTATAGGATGTATCTAAGTGACCTTTATCCGAACGTTAAATGTTAATAGTTTATTGGTTTCGGTGCGAGAAGTTATCGAATCCGAGTCGATTTCGCTTTCCGAGACGATTGTGAATAGCCCTGCTGGTCTGCCGGTAGCCCGTGTTGCTCTATGATAATTATAGCCGATTTCATATTTTCGTTTTCAATGCGTGCCGAATAAATATATAAATTATGACCGAAGAAGTAAATAGCCGAATATATTTTGGGCAAAAACGGCCAATCACTTCTGAAATAGCAATAAAAAAATCGAACGGACTCAAGTTATTTAATACATAGTATTAGTATATACATCAATTTTGTTCCGTGGGTTTCCAAAGAGGAAACTTGCGGACCAAAATACTTTATCGCATTCAGTAGATGGCGGAATAAAAATGTTGATCACATCATGTTAAATACCAATACCAGGGACGGCAGTATGATACAGGTGTGACGAGACTGGTATCTACTGTAATGGCTAATCCACCAGCCAAGTGTAAAATCCTCCGACAGTAAGGTAAATCTTTCCTACTTCTCAACTTAATGGTCTACTGAAGGTCTTTTAAATATTTTGAATAAAGGGCTAAGGGCCATTTATTAAACTGTTTAAAATTAAGCTATGATAAAAGATCTTAGCGTTAAATAACCGCGGGACCCAAAACACCAAATACATAAAATTACGTATGGCATAAAAGTGGTGCGATTATGTGTATTAAACGGCTGGTTGAAATAATTTAAGAAACGATGTAACAAGTCCTTCAATGGTCTCAGGTTTTTTTATCCACGTAAGAGCCTGGAGATAATATCTTCATCAGCTGTCTGTGGGGTGAACTGTCGCCAATATCTCCCAAGAACTTCGCAATGTGACGCATTAGCAAATTGTGAAGAGTTTTGTGAAAAATACTAATCAGGCCAGGCTGTATAGTCTAAGACCTTTGCCTACCTTAGTCATTGATTCGTAATAACAACAAAATAATAAAACACCCACACCGTTCCATTTAAGGTTCCTTGTTGATTTTGCATTATATTTTGACTCATACAAAAAAATGGTATCTGTTTATTATCAGTATTTTTATTTCAAAAGAAAGTTAGATAATATTAAAATTGTTGCATCAAATTAGTACTTACGTTGATGAAAGAAAAACACAATGTATATTGTTTACACATGATTCTTACGAACGGAACGTGCACGTCATTTAAAACGTCATGTCATTTAATTATTTTGTTGATTCATTCATATTTCATAGTTTGCAATATTTATTGGATATTAATTATCTTTACGTGTTATTGATTATTTATTTTCGCTCTCTTATTACAATCAAAAAGCCAATACGGTGTCTTGAATGATTTTGTGCTAGTAAAATATATCTAAGAATTTTCGTGTAACATCAACAAAGAGCTCTTTTGATTTCTTTGTTCTTTGTACAGAATTTTAGCACTCTAAAATGGACTACGTGACTACATTAAAAATCTTAGTGATCGGAGAAAGCGGTGTTGGTAAATCTAGGTAGATATTAGTTTCCACGTATTTTGTTTGTGATGATCAAGGACAAGCTATTATTATTATATTTACAAGCTCTTCCAGGCACTTAAAATTAGATACTATATTATTAGTAATTTAATCTTCAAGTTCCACCACATGCCTTTGAAGGATGTGGTATTTATAGTTTATAATATCAATGGTCCACCAGCATGAACGTAGACCAGTTATGCGTACCAAACATGTTGGTTTTGCACCAACAAATCGAGCATTAATACTTATAGGGGACATACTCACTCAGCACGATGAAATTGACCTATTTGTAGACAGTATAAGATGTCTGCTGACTCTTTTTTATAAAATTATTGATGATATGACAATTAATAATTCGACAATTTAATTTTGTTGACTATGTACTATTTATACTTTATATTTAAGATGTAACTTTAATTATGTGCATATTAGGATTGTTATTAGTTTTTATTGACATTGCATTATAAATTGATATGACAAAACATTTCATTGTATAATTATTAATATTTTATTGTTTTAATTGGCTTTATTACCATTTTAATTTCTGACATGGGCTGCCAAAAGCTTCGAGATTTTATATTATAATTATTTTATATTTAATTAATTTATGTTTATTAATTTTTGTTCTATGGATGGATACAATTTTTGAAAAAAAAAATTTATTGCATGTAAAATTTAACCTTGGTCGCGTGTTGAATTTTTTGTAAGCCACAAGTTTACGAATTAAATAAATAAATAAATGACATCATACAATACATAAACTATAATATGTTTGTCATAGTATGCACATATTTTATTTAATATTAGATACTAATTATACTATTAAGCTAAAATGATTCACATAGACAATTCCTTTTAGTATCATCTTAGCGTTTACAACAGGAGACTATAATGCATCATTTCCGGCTACTATTGGAGTTGACTATAAATGCAAAGTGATGGAAGTGAATGGACTCAAAGTGAAATTGGGCATTTGGGATACAGCAGGCCAAGAACGGTATAGGACTCTGACAAATAGTTTTTACAGGTATTGTATATGTCTACCTAGGTATATAAATAAGTAAAGTAAAGTTACAGCCAATATATGTCCCATTGCTGGGCACATACCTCTCGTTGCTGAGAGGGTTTCAGGGCAACAAAATGTCTCCTGCTCCAATGGTGGCGGACTTCACATGTATTCAAAAAATATCTTTTCTCATACTTGCAGGTTTCTTCATGATGTTTTTCTTCATTGCTGAGCATGTGGAAAATCAGCACTACTTTCTAGTTGTGTAGACTAATACTTATTAAATTTAGGGTTGGCTATAGTTATCCGGTACTTGATTTTAATTATGTCTTCAGTTTAGGAGGCTTGTCTGGGCTAAGCATGAACCTTTTAAACTATTTTTTAATGTCAGAAATTAGTTTTGAATTAATTGCGATTAAAATTAATTTCTCTAAAAATTCCATATAACAAAACGCAAATGTCAAAAACCGATGTAAAAAAGTGTGAAACGGGACAGTGTTGACGGCCATAATTTGGGCAACCGTAAATGTTAAATATAATATGTTATCTATGATGTGAAATGTCAATTGTAATTCCGTTTCCCTAGTGGTCACGCGAATGTTCTCTCATGTGCTTAGTGCTGTGTTTTCCCTGTTTTTGCGACGACTTCTGCTGCTCTGTTTTTGAACTTTTTTTGATTTGATTTAAAATTACATTGTGGTAAATGACCACTATCATAGCCTAGTTTAGGGAAACCTGACTTTATAGATAAGATAGATCGATTCTGTACTAAAACTGAATCACAACACCCCGAATCCACGTAGTTTTGTCTGCCCTACACCTAGAGTGTTTTGAAGCCGTAGGCGCAGAGGGAGAGCAGCACCCGCCCGCTGTAGCAAATCGCAGGTGGCGCAGGCAAGGGCGAAGGGGCTGCACTTCCCCACAGCGCCAAAGCCGTTGCAGAAGTAACTTTTCCGTCAATATTCCTGTGTAAAGAAGTGAGGATATGATTTTACAAAAAAAATATTACTTATAAACTATACATTTCCGCAAGGGGAGAAGGGTAGGGGAGGCTTCCCCTGAACCCACCCGCTTCCCCCTCCCCCTCCCACCCCCATACGCGAGTACTGGATGTCTATAGTTTAACCTTAATTTTAAAATGAAGCATGTCGTTTCTTATAATCCTCATCAAGTAATTGTGAACATTTAAAATTTTGCATAATGTTATTTACAATGAATGCAAACTGAATTTTATCAAAATTTTAACCTAAGCTGAAAAATAAAGATGATTGGAATACCAACTCTGCTAGGATAAAACCAAAGGCCTAAAATAATTAACTAGTTTGTCATAGGGTTAAGCTAAGCCACATTTTTTACATGGTAGAGGCATGCTGCAGCTATATTACTGGTATAGTTGTAGCACGAATGGCACAGAATACTAGCGTAAAATAGCACCTTCACGCTGCTGTGTTTCATATGGTGAGTAGAGACCCGGAGACCCATTTTAATGGAAACGAGGCATACCAATTTAGTCCTCACGGGTGACACTGATCTGCATTTTGATTCTTTATTGAGGATAAATGTAGATGCCTATGGGCCACAGCAACTATTTACCATCAAGTTTACTGTGTGCTCGTTTGTTACCTCTATTCTATATAAAAAAAAACAATTATTCATTATCTACATTTTTTTGCTTATTAGCAGTCTGTGCTTGACTACAATCTCATGTGGTGGTTTGTGGTGATGAAGTCCTTGATGGTTAATCACACTGTCTTAACTAAAAAAAGCCTATTCTTTTTTTATAGGATAGGGTGACAAACGAGCACACAGTCCATCTGATGGTAAGTGGTTACTGTGGCCCATAGACATCTAAATTTATCGTCGTTTGCGAATCAAAATGCAGATGCGTTGTCACCCGTGAGGACTAAGATGGAATGCCTCTTTTCCAGTAAAAAGGGTTCACTATTACCCTGATTGTAATTAGATAAAATGACTGATGCTGGCAGATTATTTATCTCCTTTGCTCCTAAGCATTACTACAGACAAACAAAACTATTTGGTTTGAATGTATGGAATGATGACAAAAATATAGTAAAGAACCTAGAACCTAGAACTGCCTGGTTATCTAATGGAGGAAAGGGAAGAGAGGAATTAAGACATGTAATTCCTGCACACATTCAGAAATTCATCATATAGAACACTGAAAGGCTGGCTGGCTAATCTACACCTGTGCTCGAGACTGACAAGATTGGCTTTTACCTAGTTAGGGTTACCAATAAATCACTAAGCACATCTCCACTGAAACCAATGCTGCTAGGTGGCATTCTTCAGCACCAACCCATATGTGACATATTTTGTAGATACTCCACATTAATACATTGAACATTCTAGAAATTTAAGCTCTGAAGCATTTTTTTAGTGCTGGAGGAACAAAAGAAAAAACTATAATTTTTTACTTGAAACTTCTGTAAAAGTACAACTAAATTACTAAAGAAAAATAAAATATTTCATATTCTATCATACATAAATTGTATTTCACCAGTATTGTTTTCCAGAGATGCACATGGTGCAATTTTAGTTTATGATGTCTCAGAACCGAAAACACTTGCTAAACTAAATGAGTGGGTAGAAGAACTACAGGTGTACTCCACTAAGAAAAATATTGTCTGTCTTGTAGTTGGCAATAAGATTGATAAGGTAAATATTTCTTTTAATGATTGTGTAACTGTTTAAAATAAGTGATTATAATTTTTTTTTAGTTGGTAGAGCCATTCTGCAGATATATTAGTTGTGTAGTTGTTGCATGAATGGGTCGGCTCAACCAGGGAAAGACCACACCCTCACAGAATACCAGCATAAAATAGCAGCTTAACGCTGCTGTGTTTTGTATGATGGGTGTAAAAAAACAGAGACCCTTTATACTGGACACGCGACATTTAATCTTAGTCCTCAAAGATGATGACGCATCTGCATTTTGATTCTTAATTGAGGATAGATGTAGATGTCTATGGGCCACATCAACCACTTACCATCAGGTGGGCTGTGTGCTCGTTTGTCACCCTTATTTCATGAAAACAATATTAATCAAGCATCAGTAGACTAATATGTCTATATGTATGGGTGCAGACTGCAAACTCAGAAAGTCATGGGCTTGAAATTTCTATTTGACTTCTGTGATGAACCACTCCTAGCACAGCACTTTAAGCTGACCTACAGTGATGGTAGTATATTAGTCATGTTAACATTAGTGTTATTAGTATTCTTTAAAAAAATATATTTATTTTACATTTCACCCGATGATAAGCAGATGCTGTGGCCCATAGACATTCTATCACAGATTATAAATAAAAATGTGTTCTTTGAGAACTAAGACGGAATGTCTTGTTATCAGTTAAACGGTCTGCGGTTCTCTACAATAACCATATAGAACATAACATCATTTTGATAATATATTATGCTGATATTTTGTGAATGTGATCTTCCCCCAGTCTAGCCGACCCATATGTGCACCACATTCACAAATTAAAAGTTATGCTAAGGTATTTAACTACAAATTTTACTCTAAAATAATATAAAATCTAGTCTGAAATATTATTAGCAGTTAATAATGTTTATACGTGGTAGAGCCATGCTGCAGCTACATTAATCTAATAATAATCTCCCCAATTGTGCTGAGGACGTGTGCTCCGGAGTTGGCACCGGTCTTAACGCGTCTTTTCCGGTACTCCTACTCCCAAGGCGTAGTCCCGAATTCATGGAAGACAGCTTTTGTCCACCCGATCCCTAAAAAAGGCGACCGCTCAGACCCATCCAACTATAGGCCTATCGCGATCACCTCCTTGTTCTCCAAAATAATGGAATCCATTATTAACTGCCAGCTCATCCGGTACCTTGAGGATCACCAGCTGATTAGTGACCGCCAATACGGTTTTCGTCGGGGTCGATCAGCTGGTGATCTTCTGGTCTACCTGACCCATAGATGGGCGGAGGCAGTAGAGTCCAAGGGGGAGGCGTTGGCCGTTAGTCTGGACATTGCGAAGGCCTTCGATCGGGTTTGGCACAAAGCGCTTCTTTCGAAGCTCCCTTCCTATGGGCTTCCCGAGAAATTGTGCAATTGGATCACCAGCTTCCTTGCAGATCGGAGCATCAAGGTCGTTGTAGACGGTGCATGCTCTGACTACAAGCCTATTAACGCTGGTGTTCCACAAGGCTGTGTGCTATCACCAACGCTGTTTCTTCTGCATATCAATGATATGTTGCTAACTGGTAACATTCATTGCTATGCGGATGACAGCACTGGTGATGCTCTATACACCGGCCGTGCCAATATTTCTCGGGAAAACGTCGCTGAGTACCGGAACAAACTTGTGTCTGAAGTCGAGGCTTTGCTAAACAAAGTCTCGGATTGGGGGCGCCTAAATCTAGTCCAGTTTAATCCTCAGAAGACACAAGTTTGCGCGTTTACCGCTAAAAATAACCCCTTTGTCGTATCTCCTCAGTTTCAAGGCACTCCCCTTCTTGCCTCAGCCAGTATCGGTATCCTCGGAGTCGACATATCGAGTGACGTGCAGTTTCGTGGTCACTTGGAATGGAAGGTCAAATTGGCCTCTAAAAAGCTTGGCGTGCTCAGCAGAGCGGGACAGTATTTCATGCCGGCATACCGCCTGCAACTTTACAAGGCGCAAGTTCGGCCTCACATGGAATACTGTTCCCATCTCTGGGCAGGGGCTCCCCAGTGCCAGCTCCTTCCACTTGACCGCATCCAACGCAGAGCGGCTCGAATCGTCGACGACCGAGCCCTTTCCGATCGGCTCGATTCATTGGTACTGCGAAGAGATGTTGCATCTCTTTGCATTTTCTTTCGCATCTACCATGGGGAGTGCTCTGACGAATTGTTCGGATTAATCCCAGCCGCCAAATTTCACGAACGCACATCGCGGCAGAACTCCCGATACCATCCACACCATCTGGATGATTGGCGGTCCACCACTGTGCGATTTAGAAGATGTTTTCTTCCTCGCACGACCTCCTTGTGGAATCGATTACCATCAGCGATTTTTCCGGACCGATACGACTTAGGGACCTTCAAGAAAAGAGCGTACTCCTTTTTAAAAGGCCGGCAACGCATCTGTGATTCCCCTGGTGTTGCAGTTGTTCATGGGCGGCGGTAGTCACTTACCATCAGGTGAGCCGCATGCTCGTTTGCCCCCTCTCCTATAAAAAAAAAATTAATAGTATAGTTGTAGCACGAATGGGTCGGCTCGACCGGAGAAGGACCACACTCTCACAGAATACCAGCGTAAAATGGCAGCTTAATGCTGCTGTGTTTCGAATGGTGAGTGTAGAGAACCGGAGACCCATTTTACTGGTAAAGAGGCATTATATCTTAGTCCTCACGGCTGACAACGCATCTGCATTTTAATTCGCAAACGAAGATAGATGTAGATGTCTATGGGCCACAGCAACCACTTACCATCAGGTGGAATGTGTGCTCGTTTGTCAACCTATTTCTATAAAATGAAATAAAAAATCTATAAAAATATAATATTTGGAGTAAAAGTGAGCAGGTTGTATATTGATAAGATCATAGACATAAAATATAAGATGCTAGTTTGGATCATTTCTGGTTAAATAGATCTAAAGTTTATATTTAATTAATGAATAAATCCACCACTGATATTATTGGATGGGTCTTATGGATCTTAAATTTTTTCTTTCTTTTTTTCTTTAAAAAAAATTACTCCCACGCTAGGATTTTATCTTGTATTGTTTAGGCAGTTTACATACATAAATTGCACAAGGACAAACATCCAGACCTGGAAAAAATATTTGTAGGTCACTTCTGCCGTGCAGGATTCGAACTCGCGACCCTCAGCGCTGTTACTCATTCCTAATCCACTGTGTCACTGAGCCATCCAGTGTGGATTTGTTCCTAAAGATTAGATTAACTAATTTATAACATATAAAAGAAAATTATTGTTGTTGCAATAATAGTATACGATAAATGTCTAAAGATAAAGATACATTTAATTTTTTTATTAAAATATTTATCTTAGCCACGAGCTGTGCCAAGAGAAGCAGGCCAAGCATTTGCAATGAAACACAGAATGCTCTTCATAGAAAGTAGTGCTAAAACTCAGGAAGGCATCAACTTGGCTTTTGAAGAACTTGTGCAAAAGGTAAGTTTAATCCCAGTTTTCGATAACTTTTCAATGAAGTGTTATGAAAGTTCGCTGTTTTAAATTTATTGATCTAGCTTACTTAACATTTGTTTTACTATAAATTTCAATATGCTAATGGAAAAGTTTGAACATTTATATACAAAAGAGTGCATTACTGCGTAAAGTTAGATTATTTATTTTAATATGGATATCAAAAGTTTTTAGCATTTATTATAAAAGGAGAGGAATGAAACTTGTATAATTCGAAAGTTTTATGCCATAGATTTGAAAAAAAAAAGCGAATACACATACGATTTTTCCAAGCAAAGTTATTATATTATTTTAACCTTTTAACCAATTGTTTATAACCAAATTAACCAATTAAATGATTGGATTTCAACCATATGCGATACCATTATTTTTTAACAAACCTTACATAAATCGCATTATTACAAAAAGGAACTTAGGTGTTTAAACTCTTAATGTCATAGTTAACGAAGGCTGCCCATCAACCTTTAAGGCCCGCCACATACATACGGAATTCCGTTTCGAGATTCCGTTTCGATATTCCGATTCGAAATCCCGAACGCAGCAAGTCCATATAAAATCTATGATCCGCCACACACGTACGGTATTTTTCCGTTCGAAATTTTGCGGGCAAAACAGGATTCCGTATGTGTGTGGCCGACCCGTTCGGAATTCCGAAATATGTGGCGGGCCTTAATGTTAATTTTTTTATCTAATGATCTTGAAGTCTTGCAGTGGCATGCTTTGGTTTCGATGCGATTTTGTTTTCTTATTTAAGGGATCTCAAACAGATGGCAACACCCAGCCGTCTTCTCTATTGAAATTGGGATAGTTTTTAATTTGAATAGCTCGGATTGTGGGCGACTAAATCTAGTCCAGTTTAATCCTCAGAAGACACAAGTTTGCGCGTTTACCGCTAAAAAGAACCCCTTTGTTGTATCTCCTCAGTTTCAAGGCACTCCCCTTGTTGCCTCAGCCAGTATCGGAAACCTCGCCGTCGACATCGAGTGACGTGCAGTTTCGTGGTCACTTGGAAGAGAAGGCCAAATTGGCCTCTAAATGCTTGGCGTGCTTAGCAGAGCGGGACAGTATTTCATGCCGGCACACCGCCTGCAACTTTACAAGCCGCAGGTTTGGCCTCACATGGAATACTGTTGCCATCTCTGGGCAGGAACTCCCCAGTGCCAGCTCCTTCCACTTTACTGCATCTAGCGCAGAGCGACTCGAATCGTCGACGACCGAGACCTTTCCGATCGGCTCGATTCATTGGCACTGCGAAGAGATGTTGCATCCCTTTGCATTTTCTTTCGCATTTACCACGGGGAGTGCTTTGAGGAATTGTTCGGATTTATCCCAGCCGCCAAATTTTACGAACGCACATCTCGGCAGAACTCCCGATACCATCCACACCATCTGGATGATTGGCGGTCCATCACTGTACGATTTAGAAGATGTTTTCTTCCTCGCACAACTTCCTTGTAGAATCGATTACCATCAGCGATTTTTCCGGACCGATACGACTTAGGGACCTTCAAGAAAAGAGCCTACTCCTTTTTAAAATGCCGGCAACGCATCTGCAATTCCCCTGGTTCCCCTGGTGTTGCAGTTGTTCATGGGCGGTGGTAGTCACTTACCATCAGGTGAGCCGCATGCTCGTTTGCACCCTCTCCTATAAAAAAAATCATTCTTGGTAGGACTATGCGTTCTGTCCGAGGATTTGTGGTCTTTTAAATCTGATGTAATGTTCCAACTTATACGAGTGACCCTGTAGAGGGTACCAGATGAATCTCATAACCTTAAACCATAAAGCATGATACTCAAATGGGGTCAAAACTACAAGACTTATTTATTTAATCATTATTATTTATTTATAACAAGACACTAAGTAAACCTTTCCTAATATATAAGTCTAATAAAAAATCTAATTTAGGGGTGATTTTTTAATCTTCATATAAAGTTTATTTTATTAGATAAAATACTTCAACTATTTCACATCTTCACTTATTCAGCCATGTTATAATTTATTTGGTGCACAACTTTAAACTAACTTTTAACGTAATTTAATGAGATATATAAAATAATAATAGTCCTTTCATATTTTATTTTACATTACATGAAATTTATTTTAGATTATCGAAACACCTGGTCTTTGGGAATCGACAGGCTCTTCATCTAACATCCGTGTATCCAATGAGGAAAGGAGAAAACAAGAAGAATCCTCGTGTTATGATTATACCTGTACTATATAATTAGAACTTGGCTTTGTTACATATATTATGTAAAGGTTGGCTGTAACCCGAATATTTTTTAATAGCTAAGGAGCTTAATAAATAACACAAATATTTCTATTTTTTTATAGTGGTATGTTTTTATATTGAATTTATTTTCATTGTCAGATTATAATAAATAATTTCATGTTAGTGTTACCATTACAAAATATTCCATCTGTCTCTCATAATGGATTTGTATATTATGAAGAAACTCATTTACAATTTAACAATGTCTATCGTATACATATCTATTGAATCAATATTTAGTATTACATGGAACTTCAGGAAACTGGCGTTAGAATTTTACATAGAAATGTGGGAAATTAAGTCACGAAAAATGTAAAGCCAAAGTTAAAGTCAGAACTTATTATGCAATTTAGGTTTAAAGCTCTTAACCCTAGAACCCTACAAATATTTTACAGCGACTTTTCCTACCCGGGGTGACCCAGCACCCTGTTATGTAATGAGACATATTTACAAGAATTATAATAAAAATGATTTTTTTTTTGTATATAAACTAATTTATTGGTTATTTTAGAAATCAACTTAAAAAGCCAATAGTAAAAGTAAACGGTTTAAACACATTTAAAACAAACTTTTATCTGATGCTCTCCACAGATAGGCGTTTTACACTTGTTGCAAAAGGTCTTACTTTTTCTGTTTTTTGAATAGGGGCAGAATCTACAACGTCCCTGTTTAACGACACTTAGAGCTGGTCTATCAGGCTCATTTGGCGGATATTGTGGCTCAAAGTAGGCTAATTTTTTCTTTCCTTTAAATAAGGTGTTATGAGCTGTAAGGATAAAGTTTTCAGATATGTCCGTCTATTGGGTATATTTTCCTTATTTATTGAGGAAATAAACTTCAACAATATCATAGAGTTGATACCGACTGTATTCAATAACCCGTAAAAAATGCATAAAGGCCAGCGACGAGTTTTACGTGACACTGAATAGAAATGGTACAGTTGGTCAAATGTATCAACTCCTTCTTTTGTTTTGTTATAAAAATCGCTTGTAAGCTGGCTAAAGACTGAAGATAGATGTAGATGTCTATGGGCTACAGAAACCACTTACCATCAGGTGGATTGTGCGCTCGTTTGTCACCCTTATCCTATAAAAAAAAAAAAACTAGTACAAAATGGTAAACATGAATTGACAGGAGATTAGAAAAAATAACGAAGCTGTGCTGCCATTAGTTAAAAAAATATTATCTACCAAAGTTACCACAGGGCGACACAGCACCCTGGGTAGGGTTCTAGGGTTAATATCGTCAAAATATAATATACTACCACTACTGATAGTTAAAATTAAAAGAAAACTATTAAAATTTATGATATGGGTATTTATTATATATATATTATATTTTCACAAATAAAATTTATGTTTGATTTGTATTCTAGCATAAGTATAAAATGTATGTTTCCGTTGTCTTCACAGATAGGTACAATGTTTATCAAGTTTAGAAGCCAGGGTTATAATATTAGTTAAAAAATTTTTGGCAGGTAAAGATATGATTTTGTATATTTATTTAAAGGTGTGTGAATATTATGATCTCCCGAAATAAAATGGTGTGTCATACCCAGTTTTGTTGTGATTTTTAAAATATTAGGTGCGCAAATTCGCTCTTTTAACTCTCTAAAAAATAATCAAATAATATTTAAATACGTCATCATTTAATATTATTTGATTTATTTTTAGAGATTTTACAACCAAATGGTCAAAATACAAAATTTAAATAAAAATAATTTGCATAACACAAAGTGAAATATATGTGCAGTGAATCAGACCAACGGATCAGTAAGCTGAGATGGCAATGGGCCGGCCGGCCATATAGCTCGAAGAACCGATAACCGATGGAGACGAGAGGTTTTGGAGTGGCAGCCTAATACCGGTAAACTGAGTGTAGGGGGAACTGCCACTAAATGGAATAACGTCCTGGTAAGAGATGCAGGTGGATTAACAGTGGATTTGTGTGGGGCTGTAATGATTGTTATGGAGGATGAAATGTTAGTTTAACAGTCCTATTCTTATCGTGCGCGTCGAAACAGTTTTCTTCATTATTTTAACCAAAAAAGGGAGGGAAGGAAGGGAGGTGGTGAATGCTCTAAGCATACCGGCTGTCGTGGTATGCTTAGAGTGTTAGTGTGGGACTCACTGCGACTGACCTAACCTAACCTAAGTGCCTACCCACTAAACACCGCCTGTGAGACTGGCATTGGCTTATGAGGCCTTTCTGCCGAATCGGATGCGACGCTCTTTAGGGAAAAGTGGGCGCAGATTATAACGAGTGAAGTCGTTTAAGTAGAAATAATACGCCCCACTATTGGTCACTTAGATGTGTGTGGGCAAATATTAATGACTATTATTTTTTATAAATATTTCACCGTGTGTGAAATGCGACTAAGCCGTGAATTTATTATCAACTAGCTGTTCCCCGCGACTTCGCCCGCGTGTAATTTAGGGTTTTAATTATGTTGCGCGGAACCCTAATTATTTTTCTAAAATATAAGTAGCCTAAGTTACTCCTTATAACATCAGCTATCTGCCAGTGAAGTGAGTCCCGTCGAAATCGGTCCAGCCGTTTCAGAGATTAGCCGGAACAACAAACAGACAGACAGACAAAAATTTTAAAAATTGTGTTTTTGTTATAAGTACCGTATATACTTTCTTATGCATTTAGTAAAAAGCTGTTATTTTGACATTACAAACAGACACTTCAATTTTTTTTATATGTATAGATATGTGTTCACACAGTATGCGGCATAAGGGCAGTAGTAGCTCAGGGGCTTAGCGCTCGCTGTAAATTTCATAGTACGCCAGCAACTCGGGTTCGATCCCCGCCTCGGCACCATAGAAATTGTTACACATTGCAATTTTAAGTGCTTATTTAGGACGTTTTCGGCGGTGAAGGAAAATATCGTGAGGAAACCTGCATGTCTGAGAAATAATAAATTAAAAAAAATATTTCGAAGACATGTGAAGACACTTCTTTGCCTTACCTGTCTCAGAAGTGAGAGGAGGCCTATTTCCAGCAGTGGGACGTATATAGGCTGTAACTTTAAGCGTTGGTTGCTTTATGTGACATTCCTTGCTTTAAGGCATTCCTTGGGAGATTTCTATGTTCAGCAATGGACTTGTGAAGGTCTGTAATTATTTTTATTTATGGAAGAGGAGGCCAACTAGCATACGGCTCACCTGATGGTAATTGGTCACCGCCGCCCGTGATAATGATGATGATGACGACGATTATGGTTGTAAGTCTAGTGAGTAATTCGGAACGCATATTAAATTGTGCTGCACTGACGCAATAGACACTTCGAACCAACTTTTTTGAATTTTTAAAGGGATCTTTGACCATGTGACGACTAAAATAAAAAAAAAGTAACAAAATAATAAAGTTGGGCTTTAATAATAATATATTATTTGTTTTTTTGCAAATGTTCAATGTTATAAAAGGTGTATAAATATAGCTGCTTTTCATAGCATTTTATTTGTATGAAATTACTCATGAAACTAACTATACTTAGAATAATAATGTATGTTTTTTATGTTGTCTCGTATAGATGTTGCAAAGCAGATTTCTAAATATTTTTTTTGAAAACATTTGCGCATGTAATTTATATACGTGTATACTAAAAAGATAATTGTTATTGCTTTGAATAAATTTTGCTAGTTAATAATGTGCACATTTTGTTTTGTTTTTGTTTTTTCATTTGGGTTCGGGCCAACCTTCTAAGATGTGATACTTTGTACGATATAGCTTGTAAATAAACAATGAGTACAGTAAAATAAAATGTTTTTCACAATTTAAAAGAAGTAATAAGGGATATGTACTAATTATGAAGTCATTATGGGGCTAATCTAGTTTCGATTTTTTTTTATCCATAAATTTGGTTGGTAATGTATAAAATATTGTATTTTGATTTTTTTTGTTGTTTGTCAGTAAAGCGTTTTCATAATATCTTTGCCGGCATTGTAAAATTGCGTTGCCATGAAAGCTTTATTTAACAATATAATAATATATGGGAAGAAAATATATTGGCGTTTAATATTTATTTATTTTATTTACTTATTTATTCTTTATTGCATTCCTTAATCTAAAAGAATACAAAGGGCGGACTTAATGCCTTGTGGCATTCTCTACCAGTCAACCTATGGAGTGGTGAGAATTTGAAGTAGGTGTAGCAATATAGAATAAAAACAAAATAGAAATTCATAATTAATTACGTTATATATACATTTTACTAATATATACAATAAATAAACTATAATAATATATCCTATTTATACATGTATACAAATTTTGTGTTAATATTGTGGAAGTAGTAAATTTTTATTAATTTCATTTTTATATTACATAAGCGTTATTTGTGTTATTAAAATATACATTATCTTAAAAAAAAACCTGTCTGATCCGAAAGGTGTACGCTGTTACCGCAATGATGTTTTTACAAATAAAACGTTTATTCACATTTTAACAGAAATACAATTTTATAGTTTCATAAATGTCACTGCGTCATCGCTTTCATAAAATAAAATATTAACAATATTTTATTTTTATCATTATAGCCCTTGACAAGTCCACTGCTGAACATAGGCCTCCCCCAAGGAATGCCACAAAGCACGGTCCTGAGCCACCTGCATCCATCGACTTCCTGCATGTCTCATCAGGTCGTCACTCCATCTAGTGAGGGGACGCCCTACACTTCGTCCGCCGGTACGAGGCCGCTACTCGAGAACCTTTTTTCCCCAATATTATTAAATATTAAAATGCTATTATTATGGCGGAGGAGGTGACGGAGCATAAGTGTGTGTCAAGGGTTTTGCGTCATCGCGTTTAGTAGTGGATAGTAGTGGATTTATAAATGAAATAAAGATATGGACGAATAAGTGTTTATTTTAAAAACATTTTGTCGTACATTATCAATTATTTCAACAACATCTGGATTTACATTTTTTGATTGTTGTATTACATCA